GCTGTTTGCTCTGAACGCATAAAGTCAGTGAGGAATAACTCTGGAGCACTGCAGCCCGTTTGAAAGTTCTGTTTTTCACGTTTTTCAGACAATAAAAGCGAGAAAGAGAGCAGCGATGTCTGTCTTTCACCCCTACGCGGCAAATTAAAGTCAACTCGAAGTAACATTTCTCCTCCGTTAAAGCGGTGAGTAGGTTGCTGTGAGTGGGAGCCGTTTCGCCGTTTTCTTTGTTTTAGTGTTTTTACTGGCACCTGGTTACCACGGCAACGCACAACAACAACTCAAAACTACTAAGTGCAGAGGAGTTCGTACAATACAAGACACGAGGATCTGCAAATGTGGAAAATATGATGCGGTTTTATTTCATTTTTTATTATTATTATTAACACAAAAACCCTGCACATTTAGCCTGAGTTCTCCTCTCCAACTGAAAACACTCTGTTCCACCTTGTGATGTCATGTGGTGATACAGGAAGTGCTCCACTGTGTTTTTATACTCCACACACCTTCACGAGAATCATTAGAATAAGTTCAGCCCTGGAACTGCCAGTTTTCTAGCCTGATTCATCAGACGGTTTCACTTTGTAGAAACAGTCTGACCTCGCAGCATTAAAATCCGTTCGCTTGACAGTAGGCGGGTACTTATTTTATTTAGCGAATCGCAGCTATTTGGTCGTGACATATGTAATGTGACGCTAAAAGGACTAACCGGTATTACGCTTTTCCCAAATCTCATAGGAAGAAGGACAATAACGTCTTTCCCCTTGATAAAATTCACCAAACATTCTCTTTGTTCCGGCTTTAAAGGTTGGGGCTAAAGCATTTTGTCCAAATAGATGAAACGACACTGCCCTACAGCTCCTATCTGTAGAAACGCCTCCTACAGGCCTCCTCCTAATCAGAAACAGGTTTGTTTACAGCCGGTGAACGTTTCTAGCGTAACTGACTTGCCTGCGCGCCGCCGGTACGTGGTTTACGTACGACTGTCACACAGTCCACAGACGCAAGACGCTGTTTACTCCACCAACGCAACAGTTCTTAGCGGCTTTTTTGACCTATATCTTCCTCGCAGTTCGCACAGAGTTTGTTGCAATGGCGACAAGAATCCAGGAGCAGTTAGCCGCAAAAGAAAGTCAGTTTTTGAGGTCGATGAAAGAAGAAGACAAGGGGAAAAGCAGCGAAGCCAAACTAAGGTGATTCTTGTAGATTCATTCCAGCGATGGCACGACTGAAGCAGACGCAGGGTCTAAAGACTGACACACTGGTCCACAAATTACTCCTGGACAGCAAACTTCTGCTTATTATGAAAACGTACTTTATTTCCAAGAGCGAGACAAACGTTTTTCTGGACACGAAAGCGATATCCTATGTCTGAAAACGTAATTTTCAAGGCAAAGAAAGAGTCCGCTTGCTGCTGTGTGTTGTAGCTAGTTCATTCGCACTGAATCTCCGCGCAACCTTCTCTGCACCCCTTTCCTGCTCCTCTCTCCTCTCCCCGTTCCGCTCTTCTCCCTGCTCCTCACTTCTCGTCCGCGCACCAAATCTCCGCGTCCCGCTCCCCCCGTTCCTCACTTCTCCGTCTTGTCTAACCAACACTGTAGTTAGTTGTTTACAAGTCATGTGCAGCACCGGCTGTAAACAAACCTGTTTCTGGCGTAAGGAGGAGGAGGGAGGAGGTGTTTCTACGTAGGAGCTGTAGGGGAGGGGGGGGGGGGTTTCACGCATGCGCAACATTTGAAAAAGGACAAACAGTCGCTGGATTTCTCCTTCCTTGGAAAATCCTCTATACAACCTTTAAAGTTGGAAAAGCTCGATATAAAAATGTGACCAAACATCTTAACATCTCCATGGAGAAAAGCATTAGATGGACCCTCCACCATAAAAGTTACACAATGCAGCTTTAAAACACAGTGCTCAAATTGCATTCACAACACGTTTACACAAATAATCAACAGGTCCCGATGCCGATCTCTCTGTAGAGCCTGATCAATACATAATTATATCCAATATGCAGCGACCATTTCCACACAAGAAACACATTATCCTGACAGTTTAACGATTCACTTAACAAAATCTTTATTTATAAATCAATAACTATGGGGTAAATTGGATGAGCGTTGGTTGCTAGGGAACAGTTATGGAATATTTCTATTGTATGTGCATCACACCTGCTGCCACGAACTTCACCAAAACTGTCAAAGCAAAAGAAACTAGGCGAGATTTTGAGATACAATTTTACACTTGTGTTAAAGGGGACATGTTGAGCTCAGTTAACTTTTTGATCTGTGTGGTGATGTTGTTGCTTTGTCTAGAACAGGGGAGGGCAGACTTTTTGGCTCGCGGGCCACATAGGGTCCTAAAATTTGACTGAAGGGCCGGACAGAAGACAGGACATCACGTGTTAACAGCTCGGCTTCATTACATTTATATTTACGCTTATGTAGGATGCGCACTACACGCTACAACATCGCCGCAAAAGATTCACAACAAATAAGTTGTTCTACAGTGTATAGATCTGTTCCACTGCACACCACAGGCGTATGTGTATCGTGAGCTAACCATTCCCGAGTCTAACTGAGAAACAGCTTGAAAACAGATCTCACGCCACACGTACACATCTGCACGGGCAGTAAAACCAGACTCTAAGACGTTACATGCATGAAGAATTACTACACAGTGTCTATACATTTTCCATGTTTGAATTTTTATCAAAAAAATGGAAGAAGTGCAGCCTTATATCTTGAACACTTCTACTTCACTCATTGTCTGAATAACTCCTGTAAGAACACTTTCCCATAAATCATTGCAGCCAACATAACACGCCGCACCTCAATGTATATATATATATATATATATATATATATGTATATGTATAGTGCGCCATCTACTGGGAAACGCCAGAAAGGCATGACAAATAAAACATCAACAAGGTTTATTATTGTAATTTATTCCAGTTCAGCTGGCCGGACTAAAAGGTTTAAAGGGCCGCATACAGCCCCCGGGCCGTAGTTTGCCCACCCCTGGTCTAGAATGTTCCATGATGTAACTTAAAACATACCCATCTAAGTATTTATTCATTAAAATAAAATGTACATACAATCATTCCTTCTGTGAATGGAGGCGACTGGAACAGACGTTTTTCACATCGGGATGTAGGGAAAACTCCCGGTTAATGCTTTTCTGTGGCAAAGTATCTGTGGAAATGTCTTCATAAATCTGCCCCATCAACAAATCTTCATCTAACAAGGTCAACAAAGTATAAACATTCAAACATCAAGCCCCAGTCTGGATACTCATCACCAACAAGCAAAACGAAATCTACAAACTTCACTGTTTTGAGACATTTTTGAATAATTTAATGTATATATATATTAGTGCTGTCATGCGATAAAAAAAATTGAGAGATTAATTAATTATGATCTGTAATTAATTAATCTAATTAATCTCATTTTAATCTCACCTAAAAATTGCTGAGAAAAGCCTTCAATTTGAGGTATTTTCATTTAAATTCATTATTACATTATTGTGGCAGATCAAAAGACTGATATAGGTGACTTTATAAAGTCATTTATTGTTTAACAAATCTTCCAAATTGACTGTTGAGCCAAGTTCCATGAATAAGAAACTGTTTGCTGTAAAGTAGCAAAGACGAGGAAATCTGAACATAATAACTTTTGTCGACTTAAAGACAATAAAAAGTCCAGTCTTTCCTTAACCATATTAAAAATATTATTGATAGAGAAATGCTTTATATATGAGATCACTGGTTTTAGTCCTGGTTTAGTCCTGGTTTAGTCCTACTTTAGTCCTAGTTTAGTCCTGGAATGGATTAATCCTGGTTTTAGTCCTGGTGTTAGTTCTGGTTTAGTCCTGGCTTAGTCCTGGTTTAGACCTGGTTTTAGTCCTGTTTTAATCCTGGTTTAGTCCTGGACTGGGTTAGTCCCGGTTTTAGTCTTGGTGTTAGTTCTGGTTTAGAGGCGCACAGGAGGAAGCGCAGTTTACGCCGCGTACGCGAGAAAACACGATCCACACGCGGCTCACGGGAGCACGTCGGTGTCCACGCAGTAACTACGGTCCGCGCGTTCTCAGGTTAATGACGATGATGAAGGTTTGTGTTTGTTTGTGTTTGTGTGTGTGTGTTTGTGTGTGTTTGTGTGTGTTGTGTATAGGACTGTGCAGACATCATGAGCCTATGCAGGTTGTTTTCACCAGTGACATTTAAGTTGTAGGCGATTTTATATTTGTTATTTTCTTTTATATTTCACGTCGGGAGAAGAATTTCCAAGACACGAATGTGTTTTTACTTGTGCACTGCTGCTCTGTTCTACTGGCTCTTCCACCTCGTCCATTGTGCGACTGACGCCGCCAACGTAAACATGACATTTACATCGCTCTTACTGCGTGCGTTTTGTGTGGGTTTCCGGCAATGAGTGGAATTACCGAAATAAAAAAATTATAAATGTGTTTTGTGTGTGTGTGTTGTTGTTGTCCCAACAACACATAAAAACAGGTTTTATAATAAAGCAACTCGCATACAGAAACGGTAAAGTTAGAGATTAAAAATGAGATTAACGCGATTAAAAAACATAACGCGCTAAATATGACTGTAATTAATTAATCACAATTAACACGATAATTTGACACCCCTAATATATATATTTTTGAATTATTTATTTATTAATTTTAATTAGATTTTCTTTTACGTGAACTTTGGTTGTGCATTAAACATTTCTGTCTTCATGGAGACCAAACAAGATCAAATTACAGGTCAGATTTGTGGAGAGGCGACCCCGCTCAGTCAGAATGCCAGTTTGTCTTTTCTTTCTCTTTGCTTTTATTTTTGAGCTGTAAAACTGTAAAACCACCTGTATCAAAGTAAAACAGAGCAGTTTAATGTCACACTGTGGAATATTCTAGGCAAAGAAATGACATGTCCACAGAAACAAGCAGGTGACGGACCCCCAACCAAAAAGTTATGTAGCGTGGAAGTATTTCTGTACCTTGTATGTGTCGGACTCGGTTGGGGTGGGGGTTGTGTCTGGAGAAGAAGGAGTGGTGGCTCAGAGCACCGAAGCGCACGCTGCTCCGAGACACGAGCGGCGGCAGATCCAGGCTCAGCGCTCGACTGCTCCCCCTGGGGTCCGGGCTGTGCAACGACGACATGCTCCAGCGGAGAATTCAATTTGGACGCATCAGAAATGTGGAGATGAAAAAGTCTGGAGCCAAACTGCAGACAAAAAAAACAAAAACAAAAAACAAAACAAGAGATTACTCACAAGGTTTTTCAGGACAACTGTTTAATTAAAGTCCTAAAATGTGTGTTGGTAAAAACATAAATCACGTCAGTTTTCTTTCACTGGTCGTAATCGTAATTTAAATGTGTTAACTGTGTAACTTTTTGGGTAGAAGGTCGTCTGCTTGCATCCGTGGAGAAATTACTGCTTTGCCTGAAATATTTAGACCTGGTTTAATCCTGGTTTAGTCCTGGTTTTATTTCTGGTTTAGTCCTGGTTTAGTCCTGGTTTTATTGCTGTTTTAGTCCTGGTTTAGACCTGGTTTAGTCCTGGTTTTATTGCTGGTTTAGTACCTGGTTTAGTCCTGGTTTAGTCCTGGTTTAGTCCTGGTTTTATTGCTGTTTTAGTCCTGGTTTAGACCTGGTTTAGTCCTGGTTTTATTGCTGGTTTAGACCTGGTTTAGACTTGGTTAGGACCTGGTTTAGTCCTGGTTTTATTCCTGGTTTAGTCTTGGTTTAGTCCTGGTTTAGTCCTGGTTTAGGTCTGGTTTATTCCTGGTTTAGTCTTGGTTTAGTCTTGGTTTAGTCCTGGTTTTAGACCTGGTTTAGTCCTGGTTTAGGTCCTGGTTTAGGCCTGGTTTAGTCCTGGTTTAGTCCTGGTTTAGTCCTGGTTCAGTCCTGATTCAGTTTAGACCTGGTTTAGTTCTGGTTTAGTCCTGGTTCAGTCCGTAAGGTTCAAAATCTGATGAAACGGGCTGTTATCCGTTTTTTCCATTTTTCATTTAAACACAAAATCGAAAACTGAAAAAACGAATCGTTACTTACAAAATGATTCACTTTAAGATCTTGTCAGACATTTAAATGGAAGAAATAACATTTCTACAACTGTATAAATTCTCATATATAAATATACTATGATTTTTTAAAAGTACAATTTATCTTAGAATTCATATATATTGCTAAATTTGGTTTAAAGACTTGAAATGACTTGAAGCTCAAAGCAGACGACTTGGACTTGACTTGGACTTATGGGCCAGTGACTCGAGACTCGACTTGGACTTGACTGTATTTGACTTGGGACTTGACTCGGACTTGAGGTCAAAGACTTGAGACTCGCAAAACGACAACTTGGTCCCACCTCTGAGTAAAACTATTTCAAAGTATCAGTACTTTTACTTGAGTACGCAACAACACTGCAAAAAACTAAATCTAGTCGAGTTAAGATGACTTGAATTAAGAAAGTTTTATCATTTCACTTAACAAATAAAATTATCTGCCAATGGAATGAGACTTTTTGTACGTAAAATATGAAACAAAATTGAATGTTGCTTGAAATAAGAAAAACACACTTATTCCATTGGTGGATCATTTTACTTGTCAAGTTGAATCAACTCAAATAAAGTAAAATATTCTTAATTTAAACGTACTTAGATATTGTTTTTGTTGTTTTGGGTGAAAGCTCAAAAAAGCCAATTTTGTGTAATATGTCTATAAAATTATTTTAACTCTAAATCAGACGTTTGGCCCCTTGCTACAGTTATATTTTCCCCCAAACTTACAATATTTTTTACTTCAGGTCACTACTTTTTACTTCAAGTTGAGTAATACTATTTCAAAGTATCACTACTAAAAAAAAAAAAAAAAAAAACATTGGCCAAGTTAAGATGACTTGAATTAAGAAAGTTTTATCACGATTTGAGTAAATTTCACTTGACAAGTAAAATCATCTGCCAGTGGAATAAAACTTTTTGTATTTAAAATATGAAAATACATCTTGCTGCACTTGAAATAAGAAAAACAACACCTTTTTGCACTTAAAATAAGGAACAAAATTGGATGTTGCTTGAATTAAGAAAAACACACTTATTCCATTGGCAGATAATTTTATGTGTCAAGTTAAATCTACTCAAATACAGTAAAATATTCTTAATTTAAGTCATTTTAAGTTACCTAGATATTGTTTTTGTTGTTTTGGTTGAAAGCTCAAAAAAGCCAATTTTGTATAATACATCCAAACGTCCATCCAATTATCTTAACTCTAAATCTGGCCCCTAGATTTATATTTTCCCCAAACTTACAATTTATTTATTTTTTTTTACTTTTACTGTAATTTTTACTGTAATTATTCAGGCCGCTACTTTTTACTTCAAGTATCAGAACTATAACACTGCAAAAAACAAAATCTAGTTAAGTTAAGACGACTTGAATTAAGAAAATGTTATAAAAATTTGTATAAATTTCACTTGACAAGTAAAATGATCTGCCAATGGAACAGGACTTTTTGTGCTTAAAATATGAAAATACATCTTACTACACACACAACTTGACAAGTAAAATGATCTACCAATGGGGTAAGTGTCTTTTTCTTAATTCAAGAAAAATTTGATTATATTTGTGAAATTTTTTTATTTTAATTTTATTTTAAGTGTAGTAAGATGTATTTTCATATTTTAAGTACAAAAAGTCTTATTCCATTGGTAGATCATTTTACTTGTCAAGTTGAATCGACTCAAATAAAGTAAAATATGATTAATTTAAGTCATTTTAACTTACATAGACATAGTTTTTTTTGTTTTTGTTTTTTTAGTTTTTCCAGTGTTCCACCTGTGGCTGCGTGTCCTTGAACAGGTCACAACAAATTTTGTTTCCAGGCAGTTCTGTTTACTCCACTTAAATCATGTTATTTTGAACATTTGAACAGTAAATTAACACTACATTTATTCATAATTACATTTTTTTTCAGTCAGTACATAGTAAAACCTCAAAAAATACCAAACATTTGAGCAGAAACAACATTTTTTGCAAGACAATGATGTAAGGAAAAGCCGGTCTAATGTACCAACGACACTAAAATACTAAACGAAAAAAATACTAATACTCAAAATGCATAAATATTGGTGCAAAATAAAGAGAATTGAGAGAAAATATAAGTACGTTTACCTTGAATGTCGAAGGGAAACAGCAGAGCTCAGTCCACACAGCTGCTCCAGTGGCATTTACGTGAACATAAAGTCTGTGTTTTTTTCTGTGTTGCCTGGAGACGGAACAATAGGCCCATGGCACGGACTGGCAGTGTACCCGCTCTGTACCGACGCTTTACATTACTGTGTACTTTTACCCGCTGAGGAGTACTGAGGCTGTAACCTGAGCTGCACTTAAATGCGGTCTGACCTCAAAGAACTCGACGGGTGAGATGATCTGTGCGTTTATGGTCTTTGTCAACGTCTTCGTCAAATCCCTGAAGCTGGAGCGGGACGGGCCCTGGTCAAAGAACTATAATCAAATCTGGAATCCAAGATGGCGCCGTGTTGTTTTCAGTGGCGCATGGGCCCAAAAAAAAATGTCACTTCCGCATTTACTTCCTCACCCGCGTGATGTCGGTAATGTTTGGACCAATCAGAGTCTGTTTACACGAGAACGCTTGCGGGAAAAAACAACAAAATATTTTATCGGAAGTGCCTTTCGTTTACACGGTGACGGCGTTTTTGGGGCTTAAAAACGCAAAAATCTGAAACCACCTCCAGAGTTGAAAAGTTGAATACGCTCCGCCGTAGCGTTTCCGTTTACACTGCCCAAGACGCAAAACTCTGGTCAGATCTGCTCACGTCGCGTACACGTTTACGTCACAAACATACAGTACACAGAAACAAACATGTTGGATCGTTTTCATGCGTCGGCAGCTCTAATAAACTTACAGGAGGCTCCCAACAAATGTACAGAATCTGCAGAGACGCTATTAGTGAACAGAGAAGGATCTGCAATCAACTCTGTCAAATTCTGCTTGCACCAGTTCGTCACCACCGAGTCGCCTGGCATGCAAACCCAATCGAATTCCACACACTTTTGCGTCACCGTATGCACGCAGATTTCCTTCCAAAAACACTCGTCTAAACTCGGAGTAAAAAGTGAAGACGCGACGCCACTTTTGCGTTTTCTGTTCAGACCGTCATCATGTAAACGAAGCCTCAGAGCGAGAGGATCTAGCGCGGGGTGAGGCTAACTCTTACAAAGTTAATTTTTAGACGTTTTGAGGATTTAAAAATTTGGAAAAGTTTATGCTGTAAAAATAGAATAGAATCCCTACAAAATCCGACCTTACTGAAAGTTGTCGGTTAGACTGATTCATCAGACAGTTTCACTTCGTGGAAACCGTCTGACCTCGCAGCATTAGGATTCGTTCGCTCGACGGTAGGTGAGTACTTTTTTATTTAACAAATCACTGTTATTTAGTCATGATGTATGTAATGCATCGTTAACAGGGCAAACTGGTGTATTAAGCTTTTCCCAAATCCTGTAGGAAGAAGGACAATAACGTCTTTCCCCTTGTTCAAATTCACCAAACATTCTCTTTGTTCTGACTTTAAATCCTCGATATCGGGAATCGTCGCCAACACAGAATGTATGGCTGCGTTCAGACTGCAGCCTGAAGTGACCCAAATCCGATTTTTTGGGCTTCTATGTTCCTGTATCTGATCTTTTAATGACAGTCTGAACGACACAGATTCGATTTTTTCAAATGCGACCCAGGACACTTGGATATGTGCTCCTGAAACCGATACATATCTGATCTTTTGACATGTGACTTCAGTGTGAACGGCCAAAGTGCATTCATCCACCTACACGTTATTAACAAGACACAAACGTCACTATTCTGCACTGAAGTAGGCGAAAATTGTTAATGAACTCACATCACCACTCACCACTCTTGGCTCCGTCTCCACATCCACACGTTCCTTTCAACGGACGTCGCTGCCGCTGCCCCACAAAACACCACGACCAAAAACCTCGTCCTTCTCAATCTCCTCCTTAAAACAAGTAAGTAAGGAACTTTAAAATCTCCAGGTGCTCGATGCTGCGTCCATGTTTGGACAACTTCTGTAAACACAGAGACGCTCGCTGCGGTTGACGTCGTCGTGTCTCCAGTGTCACA